AACACATGGAAATTATGAGATGAGGTTTAAAAGCTTGGATATTAAATATAAACAATCTATTTTTTTTCTTTATTTAGAATGTTATAAAGAGGTATTGTGATTGGATGTTATTAGGATGATTTAATAGAATGCCTATACAATTTTATTCTAGAGTTTGAATATTATATATAAAAGGATGTAAAAACAATTATAGTCAAATTAAGGTTGAGATAGAATAATCGTAACATATATAAACATATTTGAATTTAAAATGTGATTTGATATGAAAAGCAGGTGATGGCTATGGAAGAGATGCATAGAAATTTTGTAACCAACCGACACACTTTCTATAATTTGTAATGGAAGATGGTCTTTTTCTTTTTTTTATGTTTCTTTGTCTTTGTTTTAAAATAAATAAATAATTTTTTTTTTTAAATGACCCAGATTGTTGGGGGCAATTTGCTGACTCTAAACCGCTTAGAGAGGGCTGTAAAGCACGGTAAAGCGGTGTATGTCTAAGTGCTATTGCTATCAATTAAATATGAGCGGGCAGTGGGCTGCAGTTGCCAAAAAGCCAATGCAGTCTTAGGCTACATCAACAGAAGGATCGTATCAAGATCACATGAACTATTAGTACCACTTTATGAACTATTAGTACCACTGGTAATACCACACAATACTGTGTCCAGTTTTGGTCACTACAATACAAAAATGCTGAGACACTTTTAAAAAAAGTGCAGAAAAGAGCAACAAAGAGCATTAGGGGACTGAAGACTAAATTACAATGTCAATGAATGATTGAGGGAATTAGGTATGTATATTCTAAGGAAGAGAAGGACGTGGTAGCAGTCTTCCGATATTAGAGGAGCTGTCAGAGAGGAGGGGAATCAACCTGTTCTCCAAAGCAAGACAACAAGTAACAGGTGCTGAGAGATCCAACTAGAATTAAAGATTCCTGTCACTGAGAATTTCCTGTTAGTGAGAATTAAATCAGTGGAAAGACTTGCTTCTAGAAGTTGTAAGTATACCATCACTGGAGGTTTTTAAGAAGAGATTAGATAGCCATTTGTTTGAAATGGTAGAATGTCTCCTACTTCAGAGATTTGGCCTAGAAAACTTCCAAGATCCCTTTCCACTGTTATTCTGTAATTGATCAAAAATAAAAACAGTAACGGTCATAAATACAAAAATGCTTAGCAGCTTAGGAAAATATTACTATCAGCAGTGTTAAGGCAGCCAGGAAACCCAGTCAGGGGCCCATACCTGGGCCCAGAACCAGGTCTTTTGGCCTTAAGGCTAAAAGGGTCAGGGTCATTCTAATCTCTGGAGGCAGAATGTTCCATAGGACAGGTTCTATGACAGAACAGGCATGAAAAGACCTGCCAATCAGCATTCTTCAATCAATGGAACCTGAAGCATTTCCTTCCTGCTGGAATGGATAGAATGAGCAGAAAAAAACTATGGAGAAATGGTTGCTCCAGCAAACCAGACCCAATTTACTGTATATACCCCCCCCATTTATTGATGATTGGCAACCAAACCAAGCTCAGAGAACACCAAGGACCTCACAACTAGTACTCTGAACCACATCTGGAGGAAAACCAGCAACCAGTACCGCTTGGAAAGCCCAGGACATGGATGTACTGATGCATGCATTACTGTTCACACCATAGCATTCTGGAATTAAAGCTAAGGTGTTCATAAATAGCCCATGTAGGATGTGTTGCAGTAGTTCAGCTATGAGGTGACTAGGACATGAGTGACGTTCTGAAGGGCCTCCAATCTAGGAAAGGGCACAACTTGCAACCAAAAGGGGTTGTGCAAAAGGCCTTCCTAACCACAACTGACCCCTGCTATTGAAGCCAGAGCTGTGACTATAGGAAAATGCCCAGCTTGCGTGCCAATATTGAGGGGGAATGTGCTACCCATCCAAGTTCAGAGAGTGTATTCTTAATTTCTTTGCATTGTTTATTTCTTGGCTCAAAAAGTTAGTGAAAAATTAGTCTTCAACTTACAACCATAAATGAGTCTGGAAGTTTGGTCATAGGTTATTGCAGTCATTGAGTGAGATGNGTTGCATTTAATTAGTTGGCCATTGGGCATTTCAAATGTTTTGGAAGTCCTGTTGAAGTTAGTGAAACTTCCAAGTGCTTACCCTTTAGAGATGTAACTGTACCATTGTAAATAAATATGTATATTGGAAGAAACACACTTACTTGTGTCTTTCATAAAAATGTATTGAAAGCTAAATTATTATTATTGTTGTTGTTTTATTATTATTATTATTATTATTATTATTGTTGTTGTTATTATTATTATTATTATTATTTGCCTTTCCTAGATTTCAAAAGTGTCCTGAAGCTGGAACCTGGAAATAAGCAAGCAATGAATGAAATAACAAAGCTTAAAAATGTATGTGTGCTTATGCTTGTGTATTTTAATACCATCTTGCAACAGCAATTAATTGCTTTTAATCTGGATATTTTGTGGGTATTAACTTCTTTAGATTTCCATGGATATTTATTTGACTAATCTTTCCTTTAAGGAGTTAATCGCAAAAGGCTTTTTGTCAGACACTGAATATTTTGGACTACCACAGAATGAATCAGAAATACAAAATCTGGTAAAACCCATTGATAAACCCTTGCATCTGAGATCAGCTGTAAGTAGTATTGGTTTATTTGTTTAAATATAAATATTTTAAATAGAACAAAAATAGTTTAAAATGTGACGTTAAAAGGTGGGAGGAGGGGCTTAAGTATTAATGAGGAAGGATGCAAGAAAGGATAAATTGTGAGGATGGTTTTTTTGTGTGTAGTATTTCTGTAAGGCTAAGCAATTTGGCATAATAGTTGAAGTTACTCGTTTCTGACTCCAATCCTGTCTCTCTTATGCATTTACCAGTAATCAAATACTTGTATATAATAATGAGGGAATGGTGGGTTTAGTAGATAACAACAGAATTGATAATAAAACTGAATAAATTATCCAGGATTCAATTTCACTTATCCAGTTCAAAGCACGCTGTTTGTTTGTTTGTTTGTTTGATTTATATGCCGCCCTTCTCCCAAGGCCGTACAACATTAAAAAAAAAAAATCACAAAAGTTAAAAAAAAATTAGATAGAGTATCCAAAAAATAAACCCAATTAAGGTTAACAATAACATTTAAAATTCGATTAAAATTAACAATAATCAATCATTTATTTTATTTTGTTCAGGCCAGGCCGGCTTGCTGGAAAAGCCAACCAATGCTATTGAATCTAACCCAGAATTTATTTAAGTTAATTGCAAATCCTGGCCAGTTATAATTATAATCAGTTATAATTCTCTTGAGTTTGAAATGAGGATGGCATCATTAAAATCCATAGGTGGGCAAAACATATATTAGAACTAAACAAAGTTAGTCAAAAGAGCATGAACGTTTTTGAATTACCTAGAAGCTCTTCATCAGGTAAGATATTACACAAATATGTAGAAAGTGAAAAGAAAAATTAAAAATGCACCACAGTATTAAGTCATAAAGTCCACAGTAAAAATACCAATATCAAGTTCTTGGACTCAGTATATTGGGTATTGTTGGTAACAGATTACACTTGGCTGTCAGGAACAAAGCAAATGGGTTGTAGCTGATTTTAAAACCATAGTTGCTAGTCTTCAAATGTTGATAAGTCAGGAATTAATAAAGAATATTTGTTAGGATTGAAATGAGGGGTCCTTGGTGCTCTCTGAGCTTGGTTGTTTTCTTGCAGACATTTAATTACCCAAAATGAAACAGCTGCAAGAACATAACCAAGCTCAGAGTGCATCAAGCACCCCTCAATTCAGGAATTGGCCAACACAAAAATGTGGAATTCTAGTTTATTCTCTCCTGCTGTTCTTTATCTCATTCTCCCTTTTCACATTCAAATAATGATAAACTTTCATTTTAATATTATATTCAAATCACTGAAAAATCAGGCATAAAAAGTATAATTATTTAAAGGAGTGAAATTTCAGTTATTTTCTTCTTTCTACCTTTGTGATAAGATTGATAGATAGGATGCAACATTTCCCTTAGATTATTTCTGTGGAGGAGACAGACAAAATATTCTGTGTTTTCATTAAGATATAGTTATTCTTTAGAAATGTTGCTCATTATATGTAAATGTGTGTTTCTATGTTAATTCATTGCTGGGTTGTTTTTATTTATTTAGAAACCTTTAAGAAGAATAAACATTGAGGAAATCAATAATGATGTGTTATGTGCACATTTGATGCCCACCAGAGAATCTGAACCTATTCAATCTGTTTTTGATAACCCAAGTGAAACACAGGAATTAATATCTATTAAGAATCAAAATGAAGATTTCTCTTCATCTGGGACTCCCAAAACAAAGCTGCTGAAAATAGAAGAAATTGGTGATGCTTTGTTGACCGAGTAGGTTTATATTTTTTAGAACAGAATATTATCAATTTTTTTGTTGAAAGGCTTTCTAAAAGAAATATCCTATGCATGAATTTGTGCCAAAAGCACTACTTTTTGTAACCCTTTAAAATTAAACATCAGCTTAAGAATCTAGTTCAGCGTTTCAACTGCTTATTTACATATCTACAGTTTTAGCAATAGCACTCAGACTTATATACCGCTTCACAGTGCTTTTACAGCCCTCTAAGCAGTTTACAGTTAGCCTATTGCCCCCAACGATCTGGGTCCTCAGAAGGATGGAAGGCTGAGTCAACCACATTTAACGTTAAGCTTAATTACATAAGAAAATTTGCATAATTTAATACACAAATGACAATTTAACGTTTTCATTCTTTCAGAGGTTCTAATGCTACTTTTGACATTGTACCATGTACTCTAAACAGGTAATTGTATATATTTCCTAAGGCAAAATATTTAACCATTAACAAAAATTCTCTGCCTTAATATTTTTAGATCCATTACCACAAATACGGTGAAAGAAAAACCATCACTTCAGCCTTGTGCTTTAAAAAAGCAAGCTAAGACAAAAAAATACATTATTTCTTCTGTGTCTGAATTTTCTGTGCCTCCAGTCCCTATGAATTCTTTCCAACTTGAATCAGATTTCCGAAAATTAAAAAGTTACCCCGATCAATTGTATACATATTTGAAGGTAAGATGACTCATTCTTTCTGTGGTCACTAGTTTATTCCAAATTTTTGGCATTTAACAAATTTGATTTCAAAAAGCAGTTTGGTTTGGTGGTTAAGGCATCAACTAGAAACTGGGAGTCTGAATCCTGCCTTAGTGACAAAGCCAGCTGGATGACCTTGGGCCAATCACACTCTCTCAGCCACAGGAAATAAGGAATGGCAAACCACTTCTGAAATCTTGCCAGGAAAGCTGCAGGGATTTGTCAGAGCAGTTTGCAGAAGTCAAAACTGACTTGAAGGGGTTCAGAAAATGATATTATTAAGTATAGCTTAATAGTGCAAGTATACTGGCATCTTTCTTTGAAAAAAAATACATATTCCGATTACCTCCCTCCGACCGATTAGATCACACAGACTGGGCCTCCTCCGAATTCCATCCGCCAGTCAATGTCGACTGGCGACTACACGGAGGAGAGCCTTTTCTGTTGCAGCTCCGACCCTGTGGAACGACCTCCCCGTCGAGATCCGTACCCTCACCACCATCCAGACCTTCCGCGCAGCCCTTAAGACTTGGCTCTCCCATCAGGCCTGGGGATAGGTTCCCAATGTACCCGCCCGAGTGTTGACTGTTGAATGAAAGTTGTGTTTTATTATTTTCTTTTGTTCGCACATTGTTTGTCTTTTGATATTGCACACCCTTCCCTGTGATTGTAAGCCGCCCTGAGTCCCCTCAGGGAAAAGGGCGGCCTATAAATCTTAATAAAATGTCTCAAATGTCTCAAAATTCTATTTGATTTATCTTATATTTTTGTATTCTTGAATTACAAAATTACTGGGATTCTACTTTTAGAAATTAGAATGTTTCATATTGAATGATTTATAACAGAGCAAGTTTATTATACCAGTAAGTAAATGCCAAATTTTAGCTCAGAGGTGGCAGAGATAGTTACAGTGTCAGGGTTCCAAAAAACACACCCAACGAAAGAAAGGCTTGTGTTTCCTCAAAGTTCCACTTTATTAAAAATGTCATGTTGGCACATCTGGGAAAACTTCCAGGTTTTCCCACCCAGTTGAAAGTTCAAGACCCTGCCCCAACACCCACAAGTCTATCACATGGTCCAATCCTTCATTGCCACAAAGACAGATTCCTCCCATCCACATCCGTCCAGGTGCACGGACAAAAGCGATCTTGACTTTCTGAGAAAGAATAATGTTATGGCTACATATCACCCAACTCTGTATAATCCCCCCTCCCATTTTCCACAGTAGAAAGTGTGGCAGGCCTGAAATCCAAAAAGGAAAAGATGGCTTCCAGATGTGATAGGCAGCCTCCCTTCAGAAGACACATGTGTCCTGTAAAGAGAATAATGCAGGGAGTTAACATTACCTAACTAACCACCTCTTCCACTCCCCAGGGGGGGACCCTTTGGCTCATATGGAAATTTTTCATGAAACTGCTTCACTAATCTGTCAGCTTTCACATTCCAACTTTTTGCTCACGTAGCTTCTGACAAAGGGTACCCCTTCCAATATACTAAATATTGTAATCGACCTCTATATCATGTATAGAGTCTAATATTTTTTTCACTTCGTAATGCGTTACTCCTTGCATTATTACAAACTAGACCCAATCACAGGTTTCACAATGGAAAACAGGGTGTATCTTCCCTAGAATTCTAGGCAGGGTGAGCTGAACTGTAACTGGGTTAATTATTTTGACTACTGGGGAGGAACCTAAAAATTTCAATTCTAATTTCTTGCTAGGCATCCTCAACCGTATTTATTTGGTCGATAGAAAAACTTTATCCCCCAGATGCAAGGGGGGTTGAAGCAAGCAGTGCTTGTCTGCTTGTTTCTTATATTCTTCCAACGCATCTGCCAGGACTTTTTTGGTATTTTCCCACCCCTTTTTGAGAGAGTCCATCCATTCAATCAATGACATTGAGGAGGGAAGCTCTCTGGGCAGCTCAGGCATACGAACAAATTCCATGCCACTGGTAACTTGGAAAGGAGTTAATCCAGTCCTGCTATGGACAGCGTTGTTGTACGCTACTTTGACAAATGGTAGCAAATCGGACCAGTTGTCCTATTGGTAATCCACATAACAACCGATGTATTGTTCGACCATTGCGTTTGTACATTCTGCTGCCCTGCTCGTGCTCAGATCGAAAGCTGAGCTAAGTCCTTGCATAGACCCAATGGACCTCAGGAACTCCTTCCAGAACTTGGCGGTAAACTGGACTCCTCAGTCAGAGATGATTCTCCGGGGTATATCATGCAGGCGATAGATGTGCTTGACAAACATCTTTGCTAGCTTGTTAGCTGAGCAAGCGAAGAAAACAAATCAATGACTGTCCAAATTACTGTGTTCCCACCACTTTCTGGAGCTCGACGATGAAATCCATTGCAATCTCTTCCCAAGGTCGGCTGGGGTTGGCTATCTGTTGCAGTAGCCCAGTGGGCTTGCCCGGTCTTATTTTCATGGCTGCACATGTGGCACAACTCTTTACATAGTCCTCCACTTCTGCCTTCATTTTTGGCCACCAGAATTGATGCCTGGCAAGGTGGAGAGTCTTTAGGAATCCAAAGTAGCCTCCTAACTTCACATCATGACTGCGCTGTAACACTTCTAGTGTTAGAGGAACATATATTGTGGATTCTTTTCAGGCAAGTCCATTTCTCATAGTTAAGACGTCTTTGTAGTCGGTGAGTGTGGCTGTCAGTTTGTCCTGGTTGGGATCACGCGGCTGTTTGTTCTGGCCTCTGGTGCTGACTTGTGCTGCTAGTTGTTTAGGAGGAATGATGGTGTGAATCACCTCTTCCCTCCGGCTGTCAAACTGTGGCTTTCTTGACAAGGCATCTAGTAGGTTCTTTCCTGCAGGGATATACCTCAGTTCGAATTTAAATCTCCTGAACTACAACGCCCAGCGGACTTATTTTGGAGATTGTTTTCTGGGGATTTTCAGGGCTGACAATAATACCTCAGTTAAATTGATTTTATCAACCTACAAAGCTGTTGTGTTCACATTTGAAACTGAAACTTGAAAATTTTAGAATGAAAATCAGAATAGAGCTGGAATGGACTTTGAAAGTCTTCTAGTCCAGTCCCCTGCTTAAGCATGAAATCCTGTACCATTTCAGACAAGTGGCTGTCCAGTCTCTTCTTAAAAACATCCAGTGATGAAGCACTTACAACTTCTGACGGCAAGCTTTTCCACTTTGTCCTCACTATTAGGAAATTTCTCTTTATTTCCAGGTTGCTTTTCTCCTTTATAAGTTTTCACCCATTGTTTCTTGTCCTGCCCTCTGGTGCTTTCAATAATAAATTGACCTCTTCCTCTTTGTGGCAGCCTCTCAAATTCTGGAGTACTGCTATCATGTCCCCCCAGTCCTTCTTTTCTCTAGACTAGCCAAACCCAAATTCTGCAACCATTCTTCATGTTTTAGTCTCAAGCCTTTAATCATCTTGGTTGCTCTTTTTTGCACTTTTTCCAAAGTCTCAACATCTTTTTTATAATGTGGTGACCAAAACTGGATGCTGTATTCTAGGTGTGGTCTTGTTAAGGCTTTATAAAGTGGTACTAATACTTCATGTGATTTTGATTCTATGCCTCTTTATACAACCAAGATGTGAAGTTTCCAAAAGATTACCTAATTAATTTACGAGCCTTGAGGCAAAGTTCAAAAGAAATCCAGTCATTTATTAGGATCAACATTTTGACATATTCTTCTCCGTGACCGAAACTGATATCTGGTTAATGGTCTTTGCACTTTACCCCAGTGTCTCCCCTCCCCTCCCCTCAGTCTGTGTCATAAATCATCCACCAACGAGGTGCTGCAGCAGGCTGTGAATTTTGCACCCCACAGGCCGGCTGTAGAAATATGAGATCCAACTCTGGCCGAAGGTATGCGTGGAATTCTCCCTCTAATGTTAACTTGATTATTAACTGTTTTATTTCATTTTCATTTTCATTTTATACAATCACTTATATACTGTGCAATTAAAAAAATAATAAACACANATTTTATGTAAGCCGCCCTGAGTCCCCTCAGGGAAAAGGGCGGCCTATAAGCATTAATAAAATACTAAAATATAAAAAAAATACTAAATACTATTGATCCCTAAGAGGCTTATTTTTAAGTTGTGGTTCGAGTGGAATGTGCTAACTTTAATGGATAAATAGGTAGATTCAGATTCAATACTGTAACTAATTATCAGTGAATTTCTAGTTTACTATATGAAGCAAAATTACACTGTGCCTGTAGGAAAGTGAAAATACTGGATTTTTAAAACTTAATGAGATGAACTAGGTTCTGAGTTGTTCACAAACAGACAAGAGTTCCTGGAATTAAAGAATTAAAGAACATTAGCCTATTGTTCTTTAAAAGTATGGAACATTTATTTAATGAAATTCGTGTTGCCTTAACAATTAAGACATATTTCAACATTCCTATGCCTTAGAGAAAAGTTTCCACTAAAATGATTTGGACAGTATGCTATTCAGTTAATGTTACCACCTCATCTTTCACCTTTTGGTGTTAATATATGGAAAATGCTTTATAAATTATTAAAATGAAATCATATTCTATCCTCCCTTTGAAGAAAATAGGTGGCTATATAAATTTGATTTAAAAATATTTGATAACATTGTGCTGACATGCAACACATTTATTTTTCAGCATATCTTCATTTGTATATATTTTAGACTGCATATATTTAATACAAACAGTATTCTTCTAATTAACCTAGATTGTTTTCTTATCCTGTTATTGCTGCATCAAAAAGTAGCTTCAAAATGCCTCTGCTATATATTGCTGGCTTGTGTTAGTCAAATGTTTATAATGCCTAATAATAAATGTTAGAATGTTAACATAGTGTATCTTACATTTTTGGAAGTAAATACTTCTGGAAACTTTCATTATTTCCTCATTCCTCATGTTTTGCTTACTTCTTATGAAAAACACTTATTGTATTTCCCCTGAAAAGAAATATTTAATGAATTATGAATTTTGGAAAATTCCTCCTTCCCCCAAACCAGCAGCCTTAAGCATAGTTCAATGGGGTATGTATTATTAATCATGCTTTTCCAACCTGGGAGTAGTAAAAATCTCATTCTCCAGATTTTAGTGTAACATGCTTAACTTGTTTTACAATTGGAAAATATGCCTCTGTATTACTATA